TGGTCACACCTTTCCTCAGCATCAGCCAAAGCATCAGCTTCCTATTAGAGAAACAAGATTTGTTTGTTGATCACAACTGTTCACAAAAGCTGACTATAGAAATGGTATTTCTCACTGAGGAAAAGAAAGATGGTAATTATTCTTTTAGATTTCCTTTCTGAAAGTGATTTTTTTGCACATACTCAGTGTAGGTTTTTATTCTATTTCATTTTCCACTATTATCAATTATTCTCTCTTACTTTTCTTATGGATAAGATGAAAATATCCTGCAATACTTTTATTCTCAAGAGTTTTCATTAATTTCTCTGGAAGTTAAGTACTGTATATAAAGGTGCAGGGAGTTTTTATTCTTTATCTTTTTATAAGCTTTTCTAGGCAAGACTGACTTTGAATAAATATTCTATGGGCAAGATAAATTTTTATATATTTTAGATGCAATCAGAGGTTTCAATTTTAACCTGACTTCATTTTGAATCTTTGAAGCCAGTATTTAAAGACACAAGGTAATTTTGAAATATTGATCAATCCTTTGATCTTCCAATGGACTTAAGAGGTACATATAGGGCTGTGACAGAATGTAGAGGGTTTTTGTGTCCTCCTAGAATAGTGGTTGCAGAAAGACAGGTGACATAGCATATAAAATGGCATAGAGGTCTTTTCTTTGGGCAACTGATTGAAACCAGAGTAAGTTGGTGAATTTATTGCTCTACGTACTCTCCTAATTGAAAATACTAGATCTCCAGTGAGTACACTGGATGTTATATTGTGAGCCAGGAGAAACAGACGTATGTGCCTACATGCTTCAAAAGTCATTCCCAAGCTAGAATCTCATATTTATAATGGTTACACTCATGGTCTGGATTTTACCTTTCATTATTCATATTAAAATATTTTCTCAGACATTTTATTGTGCATGAGAGTTATGTGCTGGAAGGGGAGTACCTGCAAGAAATACACTAATGATACTTACAGATTGCACTTGGAGCTGCAGGTCATTTTTTTCCTGCATTAGAGATGCCATTTTCTCCTCCAGCTCCTTCCTCTTTGCCTCAGACTTTGCAAGTTCTTCCTTGGTCTTCTCAAACTCTCCCTTCATGTTGGCCATTTCCTTCTCAGACTCTGCACTCTTCAGCAAGGGCTTGATCTTGAAGAACAGCTTCATCCATGGCCAGTGTTTGACATTCATGAATGCACGAATGTTGTACTGGATACAGAAGATGGATTCCCTGAGAAAGAATTAAAAAGTACAATGAATATTCTCAGTCTGATGAGTGTCAACAATTTCCCCCAAGCAGAGTGACTTTAACTGAAGAAGAGGAAGGTGTACCTCCGCTCCACCATTCTTCTGTACTCCACCCTCATCAGGAAGCCCCTGCACCTGGCCTGGGTGCGGGTGATGAGCTGTGCCAGCTTCTCATCCCTCATCTCTTCCAGGAGTCCCAGTAGCCCAGCTTTGAAGAACACCTTGAGAGAGGCAATGTTGCAGCACATCACTGTCAGGTAGAGCAAAGCCCAGGGACACAGTGAATGGGGTGTTTTGTACCTTGGTGTGTCCAAATTTGTACTGGGTATGGTCCACATCGATTGACCCAAGGAGCTTCTCAGAAGCCTTCTTGCTATCGATGAACTGTCCCTCGGGGATGGCACTGGCATTAAGCACCTTGTATCTGTGGAATTAGAAGGAACAGAAATGAAGACAATATCAAATCATAAGAATATTCTGTTTACGGAAACCAAGAGCAGTGTTTGCAGCAGAATCAGGCTGAGGAAGTTGGAATTTCATCCCTTGTTTAGAGATACCCTTCTGATGAAGTCTTGACCTGGTAACAATTTTAAGGAAACTTTTTCAGTCTTTAGGAGACCAGCCATGATGAAGAGGGCATTGATTTCCAGCCAGTTCATTCCATATTCTTTTACTGAAGCTATGCTGTAGAAAACTGCTTGAGAGGAACATTGCCACTTTCCCATACTCTCTGTATTGGAGAAAAGCCTCTTCCCCTGAAACTTGCAGCTGATGCAATGGCCAAGGAACTCTTAGTTTGTAATTTTTACCTGAGAACCTGCTGCCACCAATCTCAAACTGCATTTTAGTCTTGTAATCACTGACTTCTGCATCTCTACTGTGCTTCCATACTCAAATGCCCCAGCAGTTATTTCTCAAAAATTTTTTCTTTTGCTAGCCATAAATGTTGCCTTTTGTTATGCACCCCGACATTCTATTTTTTTCCAGTTATAACCAGAAAGAGCTATTGTTAAAAAATATCCCCAAGTGGTAGATGTAAAACACCGGCAAGAAGGAGGGAATGGAAATCAGAAAGGAAACTGACCTCTGTTTGAAGTCAGCATAGAGGATTCTGCTGGGGAATCCCTTCCTGCAAATCCTGATCCCTTCCAGCACGCCGTTACAGCGCAGCTGGTGCAGCACCAGCTCGTGCTCCATGGCACCTGGCAATAAGACAATTGTTTGATAATTCATAATAAAACATAGAGAAAAATGGCTGCATCACAGTATTTTTTATCGCTGCTTAGTGTTCTTACCAGGTGTTTTAGACTCATTGGGGATGATACAGCGCACAAAATGGGGGTGAGTGCTCCGCAGATTGGTCATCAGCTTGTTCAGATTTTCCTGTGGTTTCACAAGCAAAGGTTTTTAATTAACAAATGGTACCTCCTCAGTTACACTTTCAGATGTGAGAAAATTCTTGGAAAACATTAACCAATTTGTAATTCCCAACTGTAGCCATTTTAATGTGAGTTTTCTTCTGTATTTCCCTCTTGAGCAGGAGAGAAACTCACAAAACTTTGCAATGTGTTTTTACAAGACTGGGGGAGATATCCACTCAGCCAGAGCATCTGTGGAATACGGTGACCAGTTGTGCATAGCAAAAAGCATATTTCTGAGTAAAATAAATTTTTTTGCAATAACCATATTCTTATGATTTGTACCTTGGTGTGTAGCCTGACCTCGGTTCTTTTACCAGCATTTGAAGAAAAGTGAGATCAAGATATATCTTTCTCACCAGGCCTCAGCTGACTTGCTGTAAGCTCATTTATGAATAACCAAAGAATTATTCTTGATACAGAAAAAAATTAACAGCTGCAGTTAAATGGCTTTACTGCAGCTCGAGTGATGTTTTACAATCCTCAATACAAAACAAACCAAGAAAAAAACCACAGAAAAGAAGTAAAGAGGACGATTTCTGTACTCACCCTGAAAAGAGCTGAGACAGTCTGGAAAGAAGAACCCTTCTTCTTGCCTCCCTTCTTACCACCACCACCACCACTAGCCTCTGAAGACCACAAAAAAACAAAACAAAACAAAGAGATGGTTCTACAACTTCTAAAGACCAAGTTTTTTCATATATACCAGTCATGATAAGAACGGAACATAAAAAAGAAAGCTGATATGCACAGTGCTGATAGATTCACTAAATAAACAAGAAAATATGAATGTCAGAGAACTGACCTGCCTCTCCTCCAGCAGAGGCAAAGAGTAAGGCCAGAGTCTTCAGGGATGATTTCTGATATAGCCCCACAACAGTTTCATTCAGAGGGTCCTTGTTCTTGTCAAGCCAGCCAGTGATGTTGTAGTCCACTGTGCCAGCGTAGTGCACCAGGGAGAAGTGGGCCTCAGCCTTGCCCTTGCCAGGCTTGGGCTTCTGGAAGTTGTTGGACTTGCCCAGGTGCTGGTCATAGAGCTTGTTCTTGAAAGAGGTGTCAGTTGCCTTGGGGAACATGCACTCCTCTTCCAGGATGGAGAAGATGCCCATGGGCTGGGAGAAATCACAAGGAAGGAAGGAGGACAAGGTGAAAAGGCAGAAAGACTCAGAGATTAAATAACTTCCTGAGTTGGACAATACTACTGCTCTCAGGGATTGTTCTGCGCAGCAAATCGTAAAATAATACAAACTGATGTATCTGCAGTATCACATTTGACATTTCAAGCTTCATTTAGAAATACATATAAAATTAATGTATTTCTGAAAATAACTCACATTGTGAATTACAGAAATACCTTCTCAATGAGCTCAATGCAGGCAGCCAGGTCCATGCCAAAGTCAATGAACTCCCATTCAATCCCCTCCTTCTTGTACTCCTCCTGCTCCAGCACGAACATGTGGTGGTTGAAGAACTGTTGCAGTTTCTCATTGGTGAAGTTGATGCACAGCTGCTCCAGGCTGTTGAACTGCACAATTACAAATCAAGATTATTATTTATGTAAATTAAGTAAGTTATGGATAAAGAACAGTGCTGGCTATTTTTACCAAACCCAGGAGGATCTGTAATTGCTCTGTCATTATTAATTGAGCAGTTTGGAACTTCTGTCAGTGTGTCTCTTTTGTCAACCTTGACTTTATCCATATATTTATGACTCAAGAAGCCTAGATAATTGTAATAACTCAGACTTAATCAGCTTTGAAATCTACAGGACTGCACTAATTCAGTTACAGGAGAGTCTGCAGCACAAAACTATACTAACATTCACAAATGTTGATTTCAAATCATGCGCCAAGCCTTCAGCAAAAAATCTGCACATAGGGATTTCATTGGCATATGTGCGAAACAAATAACTATTTCCAATAAAAACCCTGTGGGAGTCAGAATGCTATAGATACAATATAAAGGATCAAACCATTTATAACAAAAAACAACAAAAAGAAAGAAAATTTTAAAACCCCAACAAACCAGCAGCATTCCTTCTGAAGTATTTTGTCACATAACAGTGTAACTTTAACAAGCATGCTGATGAATCCTTGTTACTTACATCAAAGATCTCAAAGCCAGCAATGTCCAGGACACCAATGAAGTACTGCCTGGGCTGCTTCGTGTCCAGCTGTTGGTTGATACGAACAACCATCCACAGGAACATTTTCTCAAAGACAGCCTTTGCCAGGGCACCCACTGAATTGTATACCTGAAATGTAATACAGAAAGCATGTATTTATCATGCACGACAAACAAGAAAGTCTAGAGAACCTATCCACAAAACAGGGGGTTTTGTTACCTGCTGCACAGTTTGGCCCTTGGTCACGTATTCATTCCCCACCTTGACTCGGGGGTAGCAGAGGGCCTTGAGCAGGTCTGCCGAGTTCAGACCCATCAGGTAGGCAGCCTTGTCAGCAACTAAACACCAAAATAATCACTTGTTAAGGTACCCGTAGACATTGCTATTAGACATTATTATTCCTTAAAAAATATATTAAAGGGCAATTCCAATAAGAATCAAAAGATTAGTAAAGATAAAAAAGGCATACATGTTAACAACAGACCACTCTGGAAGATGTTGGACTTTACAATTTGCATTATACAAAATAATCTGAGTTGTGTTCCTCCAGAGAAGTCCTCTGGCTTAGACCCACTGCCATTCTACAATAGTGGCACTGGGGAAATGCACAGGCTGAGTCAATCATTGTGACCCTGACATGCTGCCTTTAACTGAGTGTTCACTATCTTCTGTGCTCTGGGATGGGTTGTGCTGGTACCTTCGGTGCCATCAGGCTCTGCCTGCTCCTCACGCTGCTTCTGCTTGAACTTCAGGTTCCCATAGTGCATGACAGCCCCTGTCAGCTTGTAGATGGCTGTTTTCTCATCTGGAGTGAAGCCCAGGATGTCAATGGCACTCTAACAAAGGAGTTGTTAAGGTGAGTACCCCAGCTGTTCAAGGTCAGAGAAATGAAACTTCACCTAAGACAACTTCTGCTACTTACATCAGTGGCCATCAGCTCTTCCTGGTCGTTAATGCTGGGAACTGTGATCTCACCCTGACTCACGTACAGATAGTCATAGGGGTTGGTGGTGATCAGTAACATCTCTGAAAAGAAGGACGAGACACAGCCAGGTCACATGCAATTGGCATGGAAAGGAATTCAGTGTTGTTCCATGACCTTTGCCTGGAGGATCTTTCCTACCAATTAGCTCTGGCTTCTTGTTGGACATGATCTGATAAAAGATGTGGTAGCTCCTTTCCGCCTTGAGCTGGAAAGTGACTCTGGACTTCTCCAGCAGATCTGGCAAGGATGGTAGGACCCAGTCAAGCACAAGGAGTGGGGAAGGCTGGAGGGAAGGGGATCAGGCCACAAGGGTGTCTTACATGTTTCAATGTCAGCAGAAGCCAGTTTGCCTGTGGCACCAAAATGGATTCTGATGAATTTACCCTGAGAGCAGAAGGAAAGTCAATTGGGACTTATTTTACCAATCCAGGCATCAATAGTATTCACACTGGTGTTGACAGTTGTCCCAAGTAACAACTCACAAAGCGTGAGGAGTTGTCATTCCTCACAGTCTTGGCATTTCCAAAGGCCTCCAGCAGTGGGTTGGCACTGATGATTTGATCCTCAAGTGTCCCCTGAAATAGAAGTCTTCTTGTCATGATCTAGCTCATCATGAAATTGGATAATTGCAGATGCCTAGCCCTGGGACCTCACCTGCATTTTGCCTGAGGTTTGCTCCTCCTTCTTCTTGTCCCCACTGGCTGCAATTGTTGCAAAGTACTGGATGACACGCTTTGTGTTCACAGTCTTCCCGGCACCGGATTCTCCGCTGCCAAAGCCAAGAGAGAAGCAGAGGGTGCGTGGTCAGGCAGGAGGTGCCCTGGCACCAGAGAGCCCCGCAGGGACCCGCACAGGGGGTGTACGTACGTGATCAGGATGGACTGGTTCTCCCGGTCTGTGAAGAGACAGAAACAAATAGACTTTGTAAATGAAGAGCACAAAAGTACTGAAAATGAATGTAAGTCATGGCAAGGAAAAAAGCCTGTATTTTTAAATTTTTTTTTATTTTTTATTCCTAAGCCTTTTTTTTCTATTTCAACTCCTTGCAAAGCAATTTGCACTTGCACTATTTCCTTGAAACATATTCACAGATCTCCCTCCAAATGTCATAGGTGAAGCCCATGACATTTTTAAAGATTCCTTCCAGCACAAAACATTCTGTTATCCTATAATCCTTTGCCATGGACATTGAAAACTCTTTAAGAGCCATGTGCTTCTTCTCTGTTCCACTCTATGGTCCTTTCTTTCTCCTGCATACAGTAAATTATTTTCATTTTCAACTACACAGGCTACTTTTAGAGCAGCTGAGAAAGGGAGAGTAAGACCCACGACAAAGGAATCCTGATCATGGGTAACGCTTTGGAACTCAATAGCACAGAGAAAGAAAAGAATGAAAAAGGTGGAAGCAAAACTTGCAGCACTACATAATCTTATTTCATTTTCCATGCCAGGTTCTATCAAGACAAAGCAGAACAGTTATGATCTGATGCTTATGATGAGAGCTACTCACCAGTGAGCATGAACTGATAGGCGTTGTCAGAGATGGAGAAGATGTGTGGAGGGGCCTCCTGGCGCTTCTTGCCTCGGTAGGCCAACACCACCTCGGGGTTGTACACCGGCAGCCACTTGTAGGGGTTGACAGTGACGCAGAAGAGACCCGAGTAGGTCTGTGAGGAAGGGACACAGCACGTTGGCTTCCCCTGAGCCTGGCCCAGCAGCTCCTGAGGCTGCCCAAAGGAAGCTGCTGCTGCCACTTACGTAGATCATCCAGGCTGCGTAACGCTCTTTGAGGTTGTACAGCACAGCGGGTTCGTGGAGGTGGGTCATCATGGCCATGTCCTCGATTTTGTCATACTTGGGAGGGTTCATGGAGAAGATTTGATCTTCTTTCACAGTCAGGGTCTGTCAGAGGGCAGGAAGGTATATGCATGTCAGCTAAGAGCCAGAGTTGGAATGATCCGCTGTTTGTAAATTTTTTATTTTACCCACCTCTCCCGCTTCAGTCTTGACAGTGACTTTGCCTGATTCCCTGCTTGTGATTGTGCTCTTCACATAAGACTCCTTTGCATGTACCACAAATACAGATGTCTTTGCATCAAAAGGTTTGTTCTGGGCCTCAATTCTCTCCTTCTCTGATTTTCGGAGGTAAGGAGCTGCCTCCCCAAAGATTGCCATCTCGGCGTCTGACGACATGGCTGTGGTTTATCGTGTGCAGCAAGTCACAGAGCTGAAATGGAGACACAATTCTAAGTGAAGAGGGAAATTTCTTTTTTGGAGCAACTTTAGGCTTTGTAGTGTTCTTCTCTGCCTATTATCGTGGTCTTCCTTTCTGCTTCAACTGCTTTTTATCCTAGATATCTTTTAATTTACATTAATCTTAAAGAAGATAGGTGCCTTTGATTGTGGTTAAGATTTTTCCCTTTTTCCAGTTTATGCTTTCTATTCACTAGATCTCACCCTGTTTTAGTAGGCTATGCTGAAGTTTAGATTGATTGACAGATTCAGTGGTTATCAAAGATGCAGCAGAAATACTAAGCAGAAGCAGAAGAGATACCAAGAGAAGTCATCTTATCAAAATTTTGAAAGCCCACTTTTATTCTTTCTTTCTCTCCCATTTCAGCTCATGCAATTTGTGCCAGTAAAGATGGAGTATCATCAGGGAAAATATGTGGAGTATGCAGAAGCAGAGGTCTGAGTTGTCTATGTGAACCTTTTCCCTCTGTAGAGAAATCAGAGTTTTGTCTTCTCCAATTGTTCTGCCGCCTTCTGCCCAGGCTCACCTTTTAATATTAACTTGTATAGAAAAAGGAAAACTTCGCAATAAAAAATATTTGGAGGGATTTGACAAAATTTGACTATACATGTGTTGTTCATTCACTGTGTCTTCCCTGGATTTCTGTTTACAGTCAATCTCTTTTTAAGAGTTCTGTGGTAAGAAGTCAATTATTTCCTAGCAGGTACCAAACAAATGTGTCCAACAGTTATTAAAGGAAATTTGCTCTTTTAGACAGCACAGCTCAGGTAGAACTGCTCTGCTTTAGTGTGCGCAGTTGTGAAGGGATATGGGAAGTTGCCTTAGAAATGCATAAAAAAAGCAAACTTGGAGTCTGTTCCTACAGAGTAAGTAAGTCAGCCTTACCTGTTGTGTCACCAGTTGACTCTTAGCCTGGAAGCTGGTCAATACTGAAAGAGAGAAGTGACAACTTCATTCTTATCTTTGCACAGACTCTCAATAATAAGTCACAGGGCAAAAACATGCTAGTGACCTCAACAGAGAGGGAACATGTGTACTGAGAGAGACAGCCCTTTGAGGAAAGCAGTTCCACAAGCAGCAGGAATGCTGTGGCATTCTGCCAGCACCCAACTGTCCCTATTCTTACCTTTAATCCTTCTACAGAGACAGAACAGGCTTGTCCTAACCGCACTTTTATAGGTTCTGGTTTGCACATTCAATTCCCTCCTCCTCTTTCTTAGGTCAAAAAATTTTTGGCAAAGCATTGTTTGGCAAACTTGACTGAGTACATGATTCCCATTCGTGCGTGTGGATATATTTAGAAATATTTGAGGTCTTCCTAGCTATGTGAATAAATCTCCTATAAATATTATGACTAGGAATCTAGGAAGGAGGAAGTGCTGTCCAGCAAAAAGAGCACGACACTGGATCTTGGAATTGTTGGCTTCTCTTCTCCTGTCAATTGCTGTTTGACATATAAGATTTGTGTGTCTCAGGACTCAGCAGTAGTGAGAAGTATTACTATCACAAGAGCTTTGGAGGGAAACTATACTGAAATATTCTAAAATAAAAAATAGGAATAATCTAGTATAGTCTAATTCCAAGACTGGATGACCATATTATGCTTGTGTTACTGCACCTATTTACAACTCCTTAGCTTCTTGGTAGGTACTTTCAAAAGATCAGGTAAGACAGATTATCCCCCTTCATTCATACATTCAATTTCATCCTTTACCTCCTTCTGAAGTGTTACTGATCAGCTGTAATTTGAAATTCAGTTTTAAAGTTATTATTCTGCCATTCTCCATATCTGGCTGTGCTGGTTTGCTCTGATGTATGTCCAGCAGAAATTTCAGTGAGGTGACACTAGCAAGAATTCCTAAGGATTCATTTTACATCTTTCATCTTTTAAGTTTATCAGCAGTTTCAACTTGCCAACCTCCTGCTATTTTAGAAACCTTGGACAGTGGCTGTAGTTAAAAAATGCAAAAATGAGATTTAGATCCCAAGCTGTCGTCCTCCAGCCTTCCCCAGCACAAACACAAATGCCACTGAAATATAGACAATTCCTGGGAGGCTTTGCATTTCCTTTGCAAAGAGTTAGGAAGGATCTGCTGTTCAAAGTTCTTCCATGGGGCTGGGATGTGCTTTATTTCTCTACCATATTCTGAAGACTCACATTTTCTCTCAAAAGTCAGGAAGTTGAAGCAAAGTAAGAGGGGTCAGAGACGATGACCAGTCATCTCAATTCACTTCTTTAAAGAACATTTGTGCGCTTATAACACTGCATGTATGACTGAAACATCTGAGATCACGTATTCTTTTAAGAGATTGCCAGTGTCTTTCTGAAAAATAAATGCAGAGATAATATCTGTTTGAAAAATAATGTGTATTTGTAGAATTGTCACTGAAGAAAGCATCATCCTCAGGCATACAAAAGAGGGTAAAGAGAGAGAAAGAAAGGAGAGATTTTTCTCCCTTTTCTTCTAATGCATTTCATAATACCTTAACAAAGAATGGACTTGACTGTTCTTTATGCGTCACATGAAAGGAACTCCAAGATGAATTTTCAGTTTTTTAATAAACTTGTCTCTTGCTGCTGACATGACTTCTGAGTTGTGTGGGAACTTAAAGCTTTCCAACTGAGAGCCATATAGCCATAAGAAAGCCCCCATCCAATATCTCCTTTTTACAATTATTATTATGTTTAGGTGTCTGGTTACAGCTGCAAAATGATTCTTCATAATTCAGTTTCCTTTCTGGGTTCTCTGTGCATATCAATTAAAGAAGATGTTATGGATTCCAGTGCACTGGTTCAAAGATCACACTTGTAGTATATAATTCTCTCTGTCAGTTTGATATCTTGCATTTTGTTTCACCTCCTAGAGTAATGGGAATCATCTGGGAAGGCAACAGATTCAAAAAGGAATGACAGATGACTTTTGTTCTGTTTCTTCCGAACCTAGAAGCCTGACAATAAAGGACCACTTTCTACAGCCTGATTTTCATCTGCCTTGTTCAGGAAGTAGTACGTCATATATATTTTTTCCTGCAGTGAGTAAAACTCAGGTCCAAAAGCCATTCTAGGGCTCTTAGTTCTCATAGATTGCCTTGCCTCTTCATGTTCTGTGAATTTTCTGAATATTTTTCCATCTTTGCGACATCTTATGAGCCCATTGTATTTCAGACCTTCTACAGAATTTTTTTAAACTAGGATGACATAGTATCAACTTGTGCTTAAACTATTTTCTGCTGTTTTCAAATTTTGGAAAGGATTGCAAATAGGTTTTTCACTCGTGGGTGGAAAAAAGAATAATAAATACAGAGGAGTTAGGGTTCTACTTCTCCTGTGATTATAGATATGGACATGCTACTGGACAAGTTATTGACCTCAGTCTTCAACTTATCTTTCTCCTTTGCCAGCTTCTGCGTGATGCTTTGCAGGTTTTTACTCACCAAATTCATCTGTCTACAGTAGAAAAAGAACAATAATGTCAAAAGACCATAGAAGAGTTAGTGATACAGGATTGCTATGGGTCCCTAGTCATGTTTTTCAAATAATGAAATAATTTCATATGCCTCAAATATTTTTTTGCCATCATACGCTATGCACTTACTGAAAAAACAGTAAGAAGCTCGAAGCTTCAAAGGTGCTCCTTGTGTTTTATTTAGGTAACACTACCAGGAGTTTGTCTTCCTCATTTTCTCGGTGGTCTGTCAAGAAGTTAAAGGCTTTAACCACACCCCAGGCTCTTTGCCACACTAAAATCCTTGTAGGCCATGTGTGCTGACCAATTTAGTAGACTACCATTGTAATCTCAAGTTTCCACATATCATTCTTGAATAAAGGGAAAATTGAACTTCCTTCAATCTGATGGTGAAACTCTTCCTTGTGTAGACTGATGTATGCTTTGTTTTCTTTATGATAAGATGTGTTGGTTTTGCATCAATTGGCACTTAGAAGAGGGCATCTACAGAGGTTTTATCTTTGAGAACTTCCTCTGTGAGCTGATGGGACCAACTGGAGGCTGGTTTGGTTGTTGACAGCCTGGGAAAGTAATTAGAGAATTTGGCCCACCTCTGTGAATTCACATTTTGAAGTGAGCAAATCTGGGAAACGACCTTTTTATTCTCCGGCAGGAGTGCAGGTAACTGGGCCCAGGCCTGGCCCCACTGCACGCCTGTGGGCCTGGCAGGGGACAGGGCCGGGTCCCCT